TCTAAAATCTTCCTCTGAGTTATATCATGTAGATATCATCACCTGTATTTGGCAGATGAGGAAACTAGAGTTTCAGCAAATTCATACTGCAGATCCAAATTCACAAAGCTGCTTGGTGTCAGACTATCACACCACATCTCCTACCCTGAGTCACTGTATGGCATCCATCTGGAACTCTCATGCCCTTATCTTGCTGTTGAATCTAGGCAGGTGTCCCTGACTCCTAACATCCTCAGGAAAGAGAAGAGCTGCTAAGCCCTGCCCAGCTTGGAAACTCTTCAAAACCCTGTCACTACTGGAATTTTTTTTTTTTTAGATTGAGTCTCATTCTGTCATCCAAAAAGGCTGGAGGGCAGTGGCGCCATCTCAGCTCACTGCAACCTCTGCCTCTTGGGTTCAAGCAATTCTCTTGCCTCAGCCTCCCAAGATGCTAGGATTATAGGCATGCACCACCATGGCTGGCTAATTTTTGTATTTTTAGTAGAGATGGGGTTTCTCCATGTTGGGCAGGCTGATCTTGAACTCCTGATTTCAAGTGATCCACCCACCTCAGCCTCCCAAAGTGCTGAGATTACAGGTGCGAGCCACTGTGTCCCACTACTGGAACATTCTTCCAGAGACTCATCTTCATGTTCTCTGTTGTTTTAATCTAATCACCTAGAAGGGAACCTGAGGAAGTGTAAGTTATTAAGTCACTTACCTGAGTAAGTTTAAGATGCAACCACGTTGGTCCCATGATAAAGAACAAGTTACACATGTAGCGTCCATCTGCAAAATTACACCTGTCCAAAGGAGAGTTCAGAGGCCCCGAAGTAGGTTCTGAGCTCTCCCCTCAGCCCCTACTTCTACCAAATGCTGCTTTCACACCTCATGTAAATCCACTCATCATAGACCCTCTCCCAAATAGCATCTCAATTCCTATCCTAGTTTTATATGGAAGAAAAGACTTTTATCCTGGTTAGAAGAGTCCGTGCATCCTTGAGCCAGGGAGGTAGTACATAGGCTCCTCCTCACAACTCACCACTTAAGTGGCGATGTTCCCTGACCATTTATAATCCCTTTCCAGTTTAGAGAGTTAGCCCTAGGTTTAAAATTTGGAACAAGGCTGTTAACAATACTAGACATAAATGCCTTCGTCCCAAAGCAGTGGAACATGTATAACTAGAGTTAACGTCACAGAGAACTAGCCTATAATATGTAAGTCATGCTACCCTTATCACACAGAGCTTTCTTTTCAAACACCAGCGAAAAAGAAAATCATTTGGGATCCCATATAAGTTGTCTTTGCCTGAGGCTGTCAAGCAATGACTCCAACAAAATTAACTGGTTCACTTAAACAACAACAAAAAGCAGCACATAAGATAACACCTAATTCCCCCCAGCCTCCAAACTCGGAGGCTGAATTACGAAAAGCAAAACAAAATAAAACAAAACCTTTATTATCCTGAAACTCTATGTCCTTACCCTAAGTTAAGGATCAATGTACATTTTTTGTAAGGATCAGAGAGTAAATAGTCGAATCTTTGAAGGTCATAGTACCTCTGTCACAACTACTCAACTCTGCCACTATAATAAAAAGCAGTCAGAGACAAAACATAAACAAATGAACTTGGCTGTGTTCCAATAAAACTTTATTTATAAACACTGAAATTTAAATTTCATATGCCTCACATATTACAAAATATTATTCTTTTGATGTTCTTCCAACCTTTTAAAAATGTAAAAAAATTTTATTCCCTTGGGGGCAATACAAAAATGGGCAGCAGGGGGCTGGATTTGGCCCAGGGGCTATAGTTTGCCAACCCCGGCTCAAAGTCAGCACATATATTCAGATGATTCCCTAGCAGGAATCGCTACCAGCTCAAAGATCAGCTTAACAGGGCTTCCTTTCTAGCTCCTAGTGTAGGACCTGCTTCCCAGAGGCCACTCCATGTCCACTTATTCAAAAAGTGGTACAACTTATAAAAATAGATCCAGAAGGTGACTTCAGGATTAGATGCTGGTGGGTTGCTTACAAAACCTCATCCTTATCCATTCTGTGCCAAATTACTGATCACATACTTCTCATTCATACAAGTAAGTAAATTCTGCAAGTTTATGCCACTAAACTTTCCCACACACACAGTAGTCAAGGTTTCCACATCTCACCCTCAGCTTTAGCCTTTGCTTACTCTCTGGTTGCAAAACAGCAGGAATTTGAAGGGTAATAAAGTTAACATTCTCATCCCATAGAGATCAGAGAATGTTCCTGTCATCTATCAAGTAATTGAGACTCAGTGATGATAGCTTTATTAATTCATTTCTGGAAAGTAACAGTGTTAGGCATAAATAAACGTAAGAAGGGTGGAGAAGTACCACATGAAGCAAGTTTCTAACAATTAAAAAGTTTTGAAGGGTATTCCCATCACAGTGTCATCATAAAGAGCACTGTGCATTGCATTTCAGTCCTTCTCCTTCCTCTCTGTCCCCTTCAATTGCTGAGGCATAAAAATGCTTACAAAAAAAGGCAAATCACATATTCAAATAAGCAATTTTATTGCTTTCCCATAAAGTCCACAAAGAGCATCCAGCTTTTTGGATGAAAACGACCAGCCTGAGAACTTCAGATATGAGCACCAAGGTCCACCGCGCATTTCAGCTTTGAAATCATCTCAATGGTACAGATTCCAAAGCTTATTCTGGTGTGTTCCAATGGGGAGAAAGCTATATTTGGGAACAATCAGTGGCTTTAGGAAAAGTGGTACCTAATCAGGACAAGGTATTCTCTTTTTAGGGCAGCGAATTTGGGTTTGAACTCCCAAAACTGTGGGTTGCTGCTTAAATCCTGGCAGTGAAGGTGATGGAGACAAAGGGTAACTATTTTTCAAGACAACCCACCCACCCAAAAATACAACAATACAAAAAGAACTGGCCAACTCAATGGCCAGAAACAAAGATCTTCATTTTCGTATCTGAAGAGACCCAACTCCAACGCAAAGTCTCACTTTCAGAGCCTGATTTGAACTGTTGCATTTTCTTGCCCGAATCTCAGAAGTTTCTGTATGTGCGGAGATTAAACCTTTGGTTTCACGACAGAGTACCCAGAAATCACTGCAAAGTTGTAATGGGGGAGGAGAGAGCACCACCTCTATGTTCTGGCAAAACAAACCAATTTCTAAAGTTCTTTTGTCTTCCAAAATGTTAAACTAAGGTGACCAATTGTCCCAGTTTGCTAGGAACTGGGACAATTTCTGGATGCAGAATTTTCAGTCTTGAAATCAGGAGAGAATTTTTGGGCAAACTGTGATGACTCAGTCACCCAGAAAGTCTCTTCTAGCCCATTCTTTGGATTTTAAATGCAACAAGATCAGCCACAACACCCAGTATAAGGATGGACACAAGCCCCCTGTGCTAAAGAAATGATATGATTCCTAGTGGTTTTAATGAAAATAACTACCCCAAAGCTTAAAAACAAAACGAAACAAAACCTAATGGTAACAGAAATGCTATGGATTATCTTTGGGCTATAAAGAAGTTCATTCATTTGTGCCGTATTTAGCTAATCCACATAGCTAGAGCCCAAATAAATGATCAAATGTCAGGGAGAGAGTGACAAAGACTATGATTAACACCTACAACCTAGGACCCCAAAACTCTGTCAGTAAAAGGCCTTCTTCCAGGGCCATCCCCAAGTCCCAAAGATTCTCAAAGACAAAAACTTACTATACTAAGGCAGTCCTCTGCTATCACAGCTGAGTGCCACACACAGGAAGGGAGGTCACTGTAAGTCACTGTAACTCCCTAATATACAAAATAAATTCAATGAAATATGAACTCATTCATTCCCAACCAATTGACACCACCAACCACCTATCTAGCTACTTTGCACATCCATGTTTGACTTTTAGGAGGAAAATAACAACCAACCAAGTTAAGTCAATGCCCAATCTCAAAAGTCCATGATGTATTGGACAGAGATTCAGGCCAATCGCTTGCCCCTTTTTTTTGGTTTTCTACAGTTCCAGTTCTAATGCGCATCGCTGGCTTTCACAATGATGAGTTTTCAGCTCTGTGAGAGTCTTAGTTACTACAAAGACAGGGCTTCCATTGTCAGGCGAGTGATTCATCTTAGGAAGATTTACAGTAGTAATGACTGAAATCAAAAGGAGATTTTAACAATTCTTGACTGTTCTGATTAACCCAAATTTTTTAATATCTCACTCCTAACTATGAAAACTAATGCAAACAAAGAAAAAAATACTAAAAATTTTGTTATGGCTTAGCTGACCCAGACAATTGGCTGTTATACAATAAACAGGAACTCTCCAAAATTACAATTCTAAAGCTATTGCTGTCAGACATGCAGAAGATATGATAATGAACTAGATACTATACCAAGATTATAGCAGAGCTGTTTTCTTCTTGAGTCCTTAAATATTCCATCAAGGAGATTGGTAATTAATGAGTAGATAAGTACAGTTGACCCTTGAACAACACGGGCTTGAACTTCAAGAGTCCCCTTACATGAAGATTTTCTTCTACCTCTGCCACCCGTGAGATAGCAAGACTTTCAACCCTCCCTCTTCTTCCTCATCCTCAGCCTACCCACCATAAAGACGATGAGGATGAAGACCTTTATGATGGTGCACTTCCACTTAATAAAGAGCAAATATATTTTTTCTTCTTTTTGATTTTCTTAAGATCATTTTCTTTTCTCTAGCTTACTTTTTGAAAGAATACAGTATATAATACATATAATATGTATAATATAATATATTAAATCAGTGTTAATCAACTGATAATATTACCAGTAAGGCTTCCGGTCAACAGTAAGCTATTACTAGTTAAGTTTTGGGGGAAGTCAAAAGTGACACACAGATTTAAGTGTGCAGGGGTCTGAGTCCCCAACCCCATGTTGTTCTAGAGTCAAGTATAATATATAAATAGACCCTAAAAAGTTGAGGATAAAATGGCAAAAACAGAGAAACAAACAAAAACGACTATAAGACAGTGCTTCCTACCTTCTTTTTGGAGTGGCTTCTTTCTTCCTCCTTCGTGGCTTTGCTGTTTTTTCCAGCACGGGACACCTTCTGGTCCCCAGACTGCTTGATGGTGATCTTGATCTCAGGTGGACATATATAGTTCTCCAAATTCTTTGGGGGTTTCTTAGCCCGCTTTGTGGTCTGAATCTTTAGCTTCAGACTTCCCTCTGTGAAGTTTGCCTCCTTGATAGAAAATTCCTGCTCTTCCAAACCATCTCCTGCCACCCATTTCTCACTGTCCGCATTGGAGTTGGAATCCACATCCCGCCCTGAGCCTAGTTCATCCTCCTCCTCTGGCTCCATGCGTTCTCCGCCCACCGGGATCCCCTTCCCAGGTCCTGGAGTGGAGAGCAAAGGTTCTCCTGCACAGCCAGGAGCAGCTGGGGGCTTGGCTGAGGAGACCGGCAGGAAGTCTGACTCGCCCCCTCTTTGCCGGGAGCTGCTTAAGGTTTCCCTGGACTCCATGACAACCTCTACAGTCTTCAGGAGTTCTCAGGAGGGGGAAGGGGAAAAGGGAAACGGGAAAGGTGAGAAGAGAGGACACCCAAAATTCCAAGAACAAAATGGTCCAGTTGCTAGGGTCAGATTCCCAGGGATGGAGACACGATGAGGTGTTCAGAAGAGATCAGATCTGCAACTGAGAAGCAAAGAGACAGTTAGGCATGGCAGAAAGGAAAATGACCTCAAAGGTTACTCAATCTGAGTTCTAGAGGCCCCTTTCCACTTGTCTATGGCATCCAGAAAACAAAAAAGTGATGGAAAAACATCTAACCAAAATAAGCACCATCCCCAAATTAGATTTTACTAGAGCAGAGGGAAAAACACATTCACACATGCCTTCATAATGGATTGCTATTAATTTTATGGCTGCAGACCCAAGAAAAAAGATAAGAGGTGCGAGTTCTCCAGCCCGGTAGCAAGCTAGAGGTTTCTTTATACTGAAGCTTCAGCCGTGAGTCACTGCTAAAACCAATCATGACGAAAGGGAAGTCTGAAGTATTGAGGCTCAGCTCTACTGGAACTGTATTTGGTTGGTTTTTTGCACCACTTCTCTCTCACATGTGAAGAACAGTTTGCAAAGCTGAGCACAACCCCCATGCTGCCTGGGCCAAACTCTCCACCCACTTGGAGGAGGGGCATGCAGCCTATCTCTTAACTGTTTTATCTTTATCATTTTTCACTATGCATTATTTCAATTATGCAAAGACCTCTCTATTTCTTCAAGCAAATGCAAAGCTTAGGTGTGAGGCTCACAAAAATAAAATAAAAAGAGTTCAGTGGCAAATCACTTATAACACTGTGATTAATGGAAAACAACCTCAACAAATGTTTCTACTGACATAAAAAGGAGGTATTTAATCATTATCCATTATTTAGATAAAAATAGCCTTTCTAGACAGTTGTCATTCCCTTTCTGGTTTCTTAAATGAAGTAGTATTGTGTATCCACAGCAGCAAAAGAGAAAAAGGAAGAGAAGGAGCATTTTATAGGCCTGTGGAAGTGTCAGGAGTCCCCCCAGGATCTTCCTCTCTACCTTCTTCCAAGATGAGAAGAGAAAAATCAGTTAGGCTCTCTCCGAACTATCACAGGATCAGCTAAACTTGCCTTCACGCTTTTTCACCCCACGTTCCATTATTCCCAATTTCATACTCATAATTTTCAAAGCCCAAAAGGAAGCCCAAATGCTCACTCTCAAGAGAAAACCAAGAGCCCTGGGGCTACAAACATCACATCCTCCCGCCCTTAGGCTATAGGCTGGATCACACTCAAGCCTTCTCAGCTGCTGAACACTTAAGTTTCCCAGCAGAAGACATAACTGTTCATCTTAGGTTTCTACCTCTGAGCCCATCAATTTAAAGAAGTGGCCGGCAAATTGTGTCCACCAGAAAATGCCCAATGCTGCCTGCAAAAACACATTCAGAATAACCAAGAACTGGAAGTCTGAAGACCAGACGTTTGTCTTCTCTCTCCAGAATCAGCACATTTTTAGCTGACGCCCCATGAGGAAGCCAGCCAGGAAGGCAGCCCAGGCTCCAACATGGACCCTGCTCCCCAGAGAAGCCCAGGAGCATCAGCTACCGGAAAATGCTCAGCTTTGCAGAAAGACACATTTACAACTGCTTCCACTTCAGGGAAGATTCAATGAATACAGCTTTTCTAAAAAAGAAGAAGCTGCCTAGTGAGAGCATGAGCATCGTCACTGACACTGTTGAGCCAAAACTGAAAACAGCCACCTGTGACCCACGCTACAGGATGGACAAAGTCTCCACTTTGGGAGGTGGGGAGAAGTTAGACCAGATGACACTTGATGTTTCTTTTACTGACAAGATCTTTGGTCTCATCTAGATTTATCTGCCCAACAACACACATCATTTTTAAAAAGTTATACTCAAGTTGACTTTACGGAGGCCTCTCTTACTAGTGTCAGACACCACCCCAGCTGTTAGAGACATCAATGTACCTTAGGGCATTTCCCCATTTGTCAAGTGGTAAGAATCCAATAGGTCTTTCTCAGTGTGTATCCCAGATCCATGCAAATCGCAAGTCATGTTTTCTTATGGCAGTAATGTTCCGAGTCTATTCCCTTCGGCAGGAATCTCCAACGACATTTTAATTCTCTAATACCTACCTATAAAATCTCCCAAGGTCAGGAGAAAAGGCAAGGCATATATATACAAAGTTCCTAAATGAAATCCATTTGGACCTTTGAACCAGAGTAGGGAAATGTATGTTACAGATTCTGTGATATAATAAAAGAAGGTGAACTCTAAACTTTAGATGAATTTATGGGCTTATACAGCGAATATATTATTAATATTAAGAAAATACCTTCCATTAAAAAAAGGTTCACTTCAGAGTGAAATAAATGAAACAATCATCTCTTACATTTAACTACGTGTACAAGACAAAGTTCCAAAACTTAAAATTCAAGTCATAAGAGAGCCATAAAAAAAAATTCAATTCAAAAATTTTTTTTTCAGTTCTCCTCAAATCAAAATACTAAGATACAAGGACAATACAATCTCTTTCCTCCAGGAAGTTATGCTTTTGATGGGAGATTTGACAAATCACTCTAAAACAAAGCAGAACTTTATATGTACTGTAAGAAAGGACAGAATCAAAAGGAAGAAAAAGTTTTTTCCACTTGGGCAAGGTGTAGATAGCTAGGAAACTACACAGAAAGGCTTCAAGGAGAATATAAGACAGATCTTTGATCTTGATGGAGGTTTCCTAGGTAGAGCAGGAAGAAGGAAGACGTGGCAGATAAAGGGAAGGCATGATGCCACGTCCCAGGCAGCCATGTGCAGGGTTATGCAGAAGAAAGAGGGAATTGATGTTTGGCTAGGAAGTATGGTAGAAACTGGAAACCTGTGAGAGATACGGCTAGAAATAAAAGGTCATGGCAAAGTCATGAACATCCTTGAATGTTGCACTAACGAGTTTGGATTTTATCTTACAGGGAATGTGAAGCCATTTAAGAAATGGCAGCGGGGAAGGAATAATATCAAAGCTATGCTTTAGTAAGATAATTCCGATACATGGTGTGAGGGTGGGATTAAGAGAAACTGATGTTAGAGGCAGGGGGCCATAAGAAGGTTCAGCTGAAATTTCATTCATGTTGCTTGAAGACCCAAACCAGGGCAATGTGAGTATGTCATAATAAATACTGTAGGTAAAACAGTAATGCAGTTTCAAATAGCCTTAATCTTTAGGAATTCGTCTATTCCAGACTTTTCATACTTGTCTCACCTTAAAAGACCAAAGCAAATTAGCCACCAACTTGCACTCACTACTCAAGTCAAACTAGTCTCCACAGCAATGTTATACATAGTTCTTTCGGTATTTTTCAAAATATACAGAATCTGTTCTTATATCCACTTCCTCTCATCCTTGCAATGCCGGCCATGCAATTGGTGTTCGCTGAATGTTTGTTGCATGAAGGAATGAATAAACAAATGCATAAAAAGATCCCAAGCCTTTCCATATTTCCAGGTCATCCCCAAGTCTTCACTTCTCCATGGCAACATTCTATAAACTCCAGACGATGGTGCTCACTCCTTGGGTGGACTGACATTGCACCCAGCTGTATAGTTCGTCCCTAAATACCAGCCTTGTATTGTCTTCTAGTTGTTTTGAGCATATAAATCTTATTTTTCTTACATGATTGTAGCTCAGCCTCAGGCTGAGACTAACTGTGGTTATATAATGCTGACATTACCTATAGCACCCATTGCAGGACTAGGTGCTTGGAGGACTTCAAGGTTTTTTTCTGAATGAAAATGGCTTTGCACCCTGACAGCTATTCAAAGTCTTATAGTTCAAATTACTCCCACTGCAGGTCCACCCACCCAGGCAGCAGCCCTGGCCAAATTTGCTGCCTATCCTGAGGATCATAATCCAGCCCCTGGTGTCCATATGTGACCCTCATCTTAGAAAAATAAAATAAGCTTTCAAAAGAAACAGCAAAGAAACCTAACCTGTCTGTTTACTTCATCAGCACACAAAGCTGTTGTTCTCTTTTAGCTTTCTTCCCAGCACGTACCTGCCTCCCCAAATTCACAGTTCAGTTTTTTGGTGAGTCTGGGTGTCAACTGCGAGTCCTCTTGTGATTCAGCCCTGCCAAAACACGCGTGTGAGTACACGCACAGGCTCACGCACTCACGGAGTTGGGGAAGCCAAGGCAAGGTAAAAATGTTTTGCCTTGTCACATTCCAGCAGTCAGTGACTCCTCCTGAGGGGGCGGGCACACAATGGACACTCTGTACTTGGCTCAGGCCTTCAGTCCAACAAAAGTTAACCCTTGTATGACTGCCTGCAGGACTTGGGCAGAGCGGCAATGGGGGCTGGGAGTGGAGGAGGATAGGAAAGATAAAATTGCTTAGGAGATAACAGCCTTGTCAGCCCCAAGCAAACAAAAGGGCAAGGAAAGGAAATAGATGTATTTGGAAAGAATACTGAGATAGGAGTCCAAAACTCAGTCTTTATTCCTAGCTCTGCTGTTCACAGGCAGTCAGATGCTAGACAAGCCACTCTGAGTCTTTTACCCACACTTTGTGGATCTCTTATGACCCACACTTGCCTTAGCAATGAATGGGTTGGGACTAAAGTCTCTTTCACACTCAACACTTAGTAATTTTGCCCTGCAGAGCCATAGACCTATGGGTACACTCCAAAATGAACAGCATGAACCTAGAGAATTATTTCTCCGAATGGCCAGGGGAATCCTGCTTGGCTAGATGTGTCTTATACCCAAATAAGTTCCAGAGTACTTCCTCCCTCCCCTCCAAAACTGCCAGATGGAATATTTTTTCCTAGTCTAAAATACATTCTCCAACTGGGGAACTCTTACTTATTCTGAAGCTTGGTGGAAATGCAAGTTCTTGAGCTCCACTTACTGAATCAGGGCTCCAGAGCTGCGGCCCAACACGCCGGCTTTTACCAAGCCCTCTCGGTGGTTCTGAAGGCCTAGAGTCAGAGCCAATGTCTTAGACTGTGCCTGGTCTATATGATTACCCCTGTCAAGTTGCTAGATCATAGGCATTATTATCAAGTACATGAGGGTATTTCTCCCTTACGGCAGTACCGTGAGTCTCTTGGGAACAGGCAGGACTTGTGTTGTATTCATCCACATAATCCTAACACCTAGCACCATGCCCAACACATAATGAACATTCAAGAAATGCTGGATGGCTGAATTAACAAATGAACAAAGCAACTCAAGCTGGGCTTCCCAGCATCATTCATTCACTTTGCTCTTCTGCTTTGCCCAGGTGCCATGTACATACAGGCCACTGTCATCCTGACTGTTGCTTTCCAAAAGGACAAGGTGGTAGAGATAGGGCCCTTAGTATATTCAACAGGAGTCAAAAGAAGTGAATTCCTGGCCTAGTTCTGCCACTTAGGAGCCCTCATAAGCCTCTTTCAGCCTCAGTGTCTCATCAACAAAGTAGAAAAAAAAAATGATAGTTACCTGGCCTACTTCACTAGTTTATGGTTTTTACTTTTTAAAAATGTTTTACCGTATTTCTTGGTAGTAGAACTCCATGCTCCTTATTACAAAATAAACATGAACAACACGTGCACCTCTCAGGTCTTAAAGGCAAACAATCCCAAATACAGGAAGAGTGCTCTGCTTCATTCCTGAAGTTTTGCAAACTTCCCCAAGCTCTTCATCCTCAGTCCTCCCTTGGCTCTGGACTCTGCAAATTCCCATACCACAAGGCATTTCTTTCATCTTCACATGTAAAAGACACTGGGTTGACTAGATAATTCTCAGGCTAGAAAACTTTTTGCCTCAAAACTTCGTAGAATGTCTTTCAGCATTTAAAGTAATGAAGAGAAAACAGAGGCTGGCCTGGTTTGGTTTCCTCTATAGGCAACTTGCTTTATGTGTTTATAATTGAAGACTTTCTTTTTCATTATGTTAGAATTTTATTAATGACAAAATGAGTGTAGTGTGGAGCTCTCTCCCTTTAATTTTCCTGGAACATAATGAGTCTTTTGGATCTGTAGATACAGGTTCTTTCTAGTTCAGGAATGTTCCCTTCAATTATTCCTTTGGTAATTTCTTCCATTAAATGGTTCTTACTTCTTTCAAAGTTTTTCCTATAATTCTGAGTTTAGAGCTCTCATCTCTGTTCTCCATTTCTATCGTTTTCTCTCTCGCTGCTTTTCTTTCCTTCTTTTGCCTTGTGGGAAAACATACCCCAATCTGTTCTCCATAATACCAATTTGATTTGATTCTATTTTCCATGCCCCCTTTGCCTTTATTGACTTCACTGTGGATTCTTTAAATTCTGCAACTGCACATTTTGTATCCCTGCAATCTTTTACTTTATGCACCAACTTTTCAGTTGGCGCTAATGTCTTTTCATCACAGCATGCTCCCTCCTTGTTTCTTAATGCTCCTTTTCTACGGGTCATACTTCTTGTTGAAGATGCCAGGTAGCTTTCTGAAACTCTAATGTTGCTGTTGGATTAACTAATTTTCCTGATATTGTTCCTTTAACTCGTTTTAAGTGTTTCTTCCACCTCAGGAGGCCTTGTATTGGGTTCTGTTTCTTTGCTCCATGCTCTCATGAGGAGAGAGTCTAGCCTACAGAGGAAGTACTGGACTACAGAGGAAGAAGTGGAATACGTTCTACCCATTGTGAAGCCAGTCACATCCTCCTCTTCAAGTTACTCCTCTTATCAGAGACCATATCAAGTTCTAGTGAACAGTAATGAGGATGCGCTGAAGCTAGTGCCTACGGGCTCGTAAGAGCCCACTGTGTGTATCTCTCCCCAGCTCCACATTCAGTGGCATTAAGTTGGTAGCTTAAAACTCAGTCATGGGGCATGGTGGCTCATGTCTGTAATCCCAGCACTTTGGGAGGCTGAAGCGGGTGCATCACCTGAGGTCAGGAGTTCAAGACCAGCCTGGCCAACATGGCGAAACCGCATCTCTACTAAAAACACAAAAATTAGTCAGGCGTGGTGGCACGCACCTATAATCCCAGCTACTCAGGAGGCGGAGGCAGAAGAATCACTTGAACCCGGGAGGCTCAGGGTGCAGAGAGCCAAGATTACGCCACTGCACTCCAACCTGAGCAAGGGAGCGAGACTCTGTCTCCAAAAACAAACAAACAAACAAATAAATAAATAAACTCAGCCATGGTGGGAGTGTTTACACCATAAGAACGAGCAAACTTTACAAGTCAGTGCTTTTAAAAAATCTGGAGTGTTAAGCATATACTAGAATACCACTGAGAGTACACATCCATCCACTATTGTGTTGCTGAACTGAGAAGAGTCTTTTCTGTTGGATTCACAAAACCAGCTGAACAGCTAGACTTCACAATACACCCTGTGACAAAGACTCCATGCTCACCTCAGAGCTTTACTTGAAGCAACACCTCTGCCCAGAAGTCAATGCCCTACTTCCACTCCTCCCAGAACTCCCCTTCCCACTCTTGCCCATTTGTTTTCTGAAAGCTATAGTCTTTGAGAATATGCATAATGACGTCATGGAGGGAAGTCTTTAACTGGCTTTGTTCAAGCTGCCCATACAGTAGACTTGATGACTGCCTGCTTTTCTGGTTGACAGAAACTGTGAATCTTCTGATTACGAAGGCAAATGGTGTAAAAAGATGGAGTGAGATCCTACCTAATTACAGATGAGGAAGAGATTGTATTTTCCACCTAGACTCACTGGCCTATAGTTATAAGAATCTCTTGTCAGATTCTGGCAAGAGACTGACTGTCTGACTTTGGCTTTGGGAGTGGTTGATTATTCATCCTTCTTTATGTCTTCTAAGGTATTTTGGTGGGGAGTCACAACTGACTTCATGGGACTTTGCATGCACCTGGAATCTTCCTCTTGCTCCCCTGGAGTTAGCACTTCTTCATTACTCAGGCTGACGTTAAATGCCTCTTCCCTGAGCATCGCAAACCAGATCATAACTCACCATTTTGTGCCTTTGTAGGCTAGAACTTGTCTTTCCTAACATTTATTATATAATTAAATATTTGTGCCATTCTTGGTTTCAAACTCCGCCTTCTGCACTAGATAAGCCCTTGAAGGTAAGATCTGTGCCTATTTGGCTCACCAAGGTCATCCCCAGGTCCTGGCACAGTTCCTGATACAGAGAGACACTCCAAATTATTCGTTCAGTGAATGCTGAATGAGAGGTCAGACAGACACCACTTGACTCAGGTGCCTATTACTGAGTAATCTTTCCGGAATTCCTTCCTGCTGCAGAAACACCCAGAGTAAATGCTCCATCAACACTGGTAAATCCAGCAAGTGTCCCAGCTCTTACCAACTCTCAATCGGCAAAGGCAAGAGCAGCTCTACACCACGGTTCTCTGACCCTGCAGATACATCACCTGTCTACAGCAAACGACAAAGCTCCTGCTTAGTGGTGTTTTTATACTCTGCACTTGTGTGGTATGTTCCTGATCACATTTTACCTCTTCCAAGCAGCATTTCCAGAGTACTTCACATACCACATGCTCTAGCAGCATCTCATAAGCTGCAGATCTCCTGAGTCCCACTGATGGGCATTACTGTATATGATTCCCTGATAGATCCTCTGGTTGGCTTGTCCTTTCTCTTTTCTCTACATGGTTAACTCTTGTCATCCTGCAAGAATTGGGTCACGTTTCACCTCCTTCACGGAGACTGGCTGGAACCTCCTTTTCTACCTCTTCCTGCATACACATGTGCACAGACATACACACAGACAGACAGACAGACACAAACACATGGTCTTGCTCTCACTTCCCTGGTCATTCTGCTATCACAAAGCATTTGGCAAGCTCCGTTGCAGTATTTTATTTACCTGTCTATCTCTCTCACTAGACCACGAGCTCCATGAGGACAGGGCTATATTTCAAATGCATCTCTGCACAGCTCGTAGCATAGAGAACACTGGGAGTAACCGTCCAACAGTAAATGTTCAAGCCATGTTTCTCCTTAAAAAGAAGAATGGAAGCAGTTCTGATTTGATGTCATAGGTTTAGATTTCTTAGCCTCTCTTTCCCACTTAGTAATTGTGTTCTTAGGAAACATTTTTAATCTTTTCAAGTCTCATTTGGAAATGGGGTAATAATTCTACCTGAAGGGTTGTTTCAAGAAGTAATTAAAGATTAAATGAGATAATAATCATGAAAGAACATACTGGGATCACCTTACTAAGTGTGCAAATTTTTTTGTTACATTTGATTTACTTCTATAGTCAGTCACCATGCTAGCCTTTGGCTAAGTGCTGCCGTCTCTTCTAAGACTCCAAGTCAAGCCCTGAGGGACAGGAGTTGAAGACCAACCTCCTCCATCTTCCTACACAGTGAGAAGCACAGACAACTAGTTTCCTTTGTATCTGCTAACCTGATCATTTAGCTGTTGTTTGATTATTGCTCTTCTCTTGTTTCCAGTTTGTCTCATGGAGGAAATAATACTGGGTACAGTCAGGAATTCCACATTCCAATCCCTCCTCCACCATTTAGAGCTGGTGGCCTTGGGCAAGTTCCTTTTTCTCCCTAAGTCTTCCCATCATTATATGTAGAATTGAGATCAGAGAACAAGAGTTCAGCTCTGTGGCCCCTTCCAGCTCTGACATTCCCAGGTACTGAGCCTTGTCTCCTCAACTAGAAGCCCTTCAAAGCCAGGACTGGTACCTTCCACATCTTTTTCAGATTCTGCTGACTCTGCAGCTCAGCCTGGCTGGAGTGGCTGAGCCTAAGACAAAACTAAGCATATGCCATTGTTCTCTGTACTCAGGGATCTCTATGATAAGGAAAGGAGATTAAACTTCTGAGACCTGAGGTCTGACATACTATCCATTAAACAATTCCAGCTCTAGCTGCAAAAAACAGTGTCTCCTCTGGGAACCAATAACACAACACAACAGCATGACCCTTGTGTCTTTGCTCCCTGGGGAAAAATCTCTACAGTCGTGCCTGGGCCAATCAAGTTTGTAGGTTGAGCTCTGGCTTTGATGACTTACTTGTGCCTGTGTTCCTCTGTGCAGTCAAGGAAAAGTGTTCTCCTGTAGTGAAAGGGTGGGGAGGGGGGTGGTTAAACATTACCACTAACTTGTGCTGAGCTCTTTACAGTCATTGTCAATTTAATTCACACAACAGCACTGTGATGCAGAAGATCTTGTCCTCATTTTACAGACCTGGAAATTAAGGTCCAGAAAGGTTAATGATTTACTCAAGAGCACACACTTTCTGTGCCAGATTCACAATCAAATCGAGGTATATATGATTACAAAGCCTCTTACTTTGACATCATGAGGTATCTAAAACACAAAGTGATGCCAACTTTTGACCAAAAGTTGTTAGTTGCTTCTACATATATGAGTTCTAAAACCAGTGTGCCATCTGAATTGCCACGTCACTTAAACTGTCTTAGGCATCAGTTTTCTCATCTGCCTTTCCTAATGCTCTTCACAGAATCTTGCAGGAAAAAAAAAAAAAAGATAAATAATATGTGCAGCACAATGCCAAAATAGGTTAAAAATAGTAGATTTGAAAGAAGTAACTGTGACCAAAATATTTCCTGTCCATATAGGGTGGAGAGATTCACATGGTAAAGAAAATAATCTGAATTGTTAACATACATCAGGTATTCTCTAAGTTTATTTACGTTTTTCATCTGATTTAAGTTTATTATACTATTTAACCCTGATTTATTCTCTGATTTTAACCCAGAGACATAACCATTTTACAGATAAGAAAATTAAAGTTGAGAGATTTGTTGAATCACAGGAGAAGTTGTGTCTGACTCCAAATGTTATTTTAACCATAGAGCCACCAGTCTTCAAATACTCGATATTACTGGTCCCTGAAAACTCTGGTCCTCCACCACACCATTTGCAAATTGAGAATGGAAATGGTAGACATACTTGGAGGCAATGAGGATAAACTGAACAATCTAACAGATACTAATAAAGTCTTTCAAAGCCTTCTAACTTTCACCTCACTACCTGTTCAGTTTTAATTCAAATTCCTTGACTTCTCAACCATCTGATTCAGCCATTGCTTTGTTCATCGTCATTTCAACATAAAGCATAATCTGGCACATATATGTTTGTGCTTCTGCTGCAAAGGAGATGCTAAGCATACCAGAGAACTAAACAAATACCAGCTTCACTTTCCTTTCTCTATGATATACCTCCTCTAGCTATCTTGTACTGTCATTAAACATTGCCTTGTTACTGAATCTTCTATATTTCCTTCTCCAATTATACATTAAACACTTGGAAATAAGTACCAGTATCATAGAGTTTTATGTTCCCCAGAGTGGCCCATCCCCATTCCAAATGCTTATATATCATTTCATTTCTTGTTCTAAAGATACCTCTTTTGAACCCCAGGCTGAAGAGTTGGTAGCGGACAGGACCTAGCAGCGGGAGGCAGAGTCAGCTGTCAGCATTCTTTCATGTGTGGTATGTGTGGAAGTCTCTGACAGGCACACCCACCTGCTCCCCAAGACTGCTCTTCCTGCACTTGGAAAGCTGTGGGCATGCCTCCCAATTTCAGCTTAGGGGAGATGAATCCTTGGCCTGTTTCTCACAGGACACCATCCCATCTGTCTTGCTGCCTTACACTCCACAGAGCCCTATGCTGAACTGTTCTCCTTTCTCCCTCTACATTCCCAAGTGGATGATCTTCCCTGGTGCTCCATACCTACCCAAGACTATTCCATTGTCGATGACTCAGCTCAAGTTCCACCTACTCCTGGAAGCTTTCTCTGATCTGACTAACCCTTGGAGATACTAACTCCCTCGGGCTCCCACTACAATTCAGCACTTTGGCGTACAGGGCTGGCTGCTGCTCCTCCTCCCCTGGTTTTCATGAGCTCGTAGAGTATCTTTCACTCCATCTCTTGGGGTCCCCACAGCACCTATCAGAGTCTGGTCACAATTAATAATAATGTCAATGAACAAACCAATTTTTGCTAAATCAGAGAGTTGGAAACTTGATTAGTTTGAATTATAACAGGTATATTGAGTCCAACATAGAGGGCCCTGGGTTTTATCCTTCTCTTTGTGGACAGAAGACCTCAGACCATAAAGGTGTCTGCTGTAGGGGTGTCTGCCCCTCAATGTCAGCCATCTTAAGGGCTGTGCTGCTTCTGCCAGATGCAGTACATGTTCAAAATTAGTATGTGTTTCCTTTAGGCAATTCTCAAATCACATTTGAACTCTGTCCCCCTGCTGCCCCTATGCCAAAGCTATTCTACTCGCCAAGAATGTCCCCTTGTTCTACAACTTCCATCAAATCCTAAACGCATACTCTGAAATCTTCCCTGACTATACCTTCAGCCTGATCACACAAATAGCAAAATTCCATTTTGGATCATGCTCCTACTTTGGCTGCAGAAGAATGCTTTCCATTTCAGCAAAGCACATATCTGCAGATACACTGCCCACTCTGCCAGCACAAAAGCCACATCTCATAGCAGGTCTTTCCCAACCAAGTGTACCAGGCACAATGGCTCACACAATCTGCAATGCTGATATTTTAATAAATATTTGTGGATCAAAACACCAATCGCAATAGAGCTCTAAAGTGTAATGAGTAGAAAGGTTCACAGAGTTTCACATCAAATCATCCCTTTTAGTCATTACTATTAATCAATACTTTTTTAAAAATCAAAGGTCTTCATCAGGCGTGGTGGCTCACACCTGTAATCCCAGCACTTTGGGAGGCCGAGGCAGGCGGATCACGAGGTCAGGAGTTCGAGATCAGCCAGGCCAATGTGGTGAAACCCTGTCTCTACAACAAATACAAAAAATTAGCTGGGCATGGTAGCACGCACCTGTAATCCCATACTTGGGAGGCTGAGGCAGGGGAATCGCTTGAACCCAGGAGGTGGAGGTTGCAGTGAGCAGAGATCATGACAGTGCATGACTCCGTCTCAAAAAAAAAAAAAAAAAAACAAAGAAAGAAAAAAATCAAAGGTCTCATTGCTCAAATAACAATAGGTCACAGAAAGAGACACCAACAACTGTACGGGACCTGCCATGCAGATTTCATTATTCTGCTACAAGCATATTGGTGCCCCCATTGCTTCTGATGAGCTACTATGTTGGTTCCATCAAATTCAGCTTCTCCATCTCAACCATTCTCCAAGCCACAAATTCAAACTCCAAGAAGCTCCTTTCCACTGACAGAACTGAAAATCATTGGCAGATAAAGGGAATATTGAAGAAATTGCTTTTTACTAAATTTGGCTAACAATATTACAAGCTCCTTTTTCATCCCTAATCCTTTACTAGATCCTGGGCTAAAAGCAACTGTAGCATTTCAGTGGCTTGAAGAGGCTTCCTCTTCCTAAATATCCAACCAGTATGCTCCCAGGTACTTCATCAATCCCACAGAACTTTTACAGTACCTTAGGCCAAAGCCCAATTTCCTTGATCCTACTCCAACCCAAATCAAAGGCGGCTCTGGTTTTGCAGACTGTAGGTCACTGTATCTGATCTCAAAATGCACACAAAGCAACCTATTAGCTATTATTGAACACATGCTGCAACACAGGCAGACCAGGTGCTGTGGGGAGGGAGAGGACATCCCAGGAACCCAGGAATGGCCCAAGACTTCATGCTCTTTAGAATCTACATGGAGAAATGACATCCAGCCCCCTAGATCCATGACATGAGTAAAGTATCCATAGCAGGGTTTCCCGATGCCACCTGACAGGAAGCAGCAGCAAAGCCCAACTACAGAATATTTTCTGGACTTCCTAGAAACTGTCTTTGTCTGTTCCGTCTTCCTTGATTCGAGTCAGTTATTTTACCAAAGAGAACCAGTTCAAAAGAGATGTGGATAATGTAATCCCTTTCTTCCTTCCACATTACTTTTAGTGGTGTGTTCTCACATTCAGCTCACCATTGCCTCCTCTCCCCTTCCCGGTCCTCCAAGACTGACTCCAGTGTTCTAATGAGTGCTCACCCCAATCCTACTTACCCCAGCGCACCACCTTCCCTTTCTGTAACTCTTTCAGCCCATCAAACATTTAGCAAAGTGCATAAATCCTCGGTGGGATTGGTTTGGACAGTTGTTGGGGGTGCCTTTAAAGGGGTTTGAGGAGCTCTGACCTTTAAGAAATCCTTAACATTCCTAGGACACCTCTAGCTATAGAATCACAGAATTTTAGAAGGGACACTCTATACCAATCCAAACTTTTTTACTGTACAACAGTAGAAAGGCAATGTAGCTTGTCCCACATCATATGCTAATAGGTGTGAGCCCAGGCTGCTTTCTGCCTCAGCCTTCTTGACCTCTTAGGCCAACCAGTTGCACCCAGCCTCCTCAGCCTTCTCTGTTTTCCACTGTGGCCAGGCTCACACCATCACTGAAGAGTGGAAAAGCATTTGGACTTAAGCAACAAAGATGACTGTATGGTTAAGTGCCAAAATGAGCAAGATGGACAAAAAATACAATTGGAATTTTCAGAGAAAGTCAAGAGCTATGTGTGTTAGAGTCACAATGAGACTCTGGTAGGCACTATTATTATTAATAAATATTTGATGACTGAATGAGTGAATCGGTGACTGAAAGGATGCACATGTGGTAAAATATGCTTCACTCTTAAACTTTAAGGGAGAAACTTTGGGTTGATTGCCCCTGAAAAGCAGCTGAAAATATAAAAAGCCATTATCATTGGCTTAAAGTAGTTACTATTCACACTGTCTACGGGGCCCTCACTGTGTTGCTTCATAACGCAGAGCATTAATACACCTTAAACAACATTGACTTTCAATATTCTATCTCTTCATAAATGCTGTGATTCATTCAGGAAACAAAAAAAATCATTAATAAATAAGGCTCAGGCTGTGTAGGAAAACCTGTCCCCTTCTTCAAGGGCTCAGAGCTTGGGGGTGTAAGTGACAACAAATAGCAAGGCAGCATAAGCTGGGTGCCTTGCTCTGGGAACTTGGGATGAGGAGCTGAGAGCTGGGAGGAAGGAACTAGTTAGCCCCCAGGGAGGAGGCTGGGTGCAACTAGTTGGCCTAAGAGGTCAAGGCTCTCGTTATAAGGGACTAGTCAGGGCACTTTCCACCTGGAGGTGACAACACAGAGACAGCTGAGGTGTGGAGGCAGGAAGATGTTCAGAATGTCCAGAGTCAGTGAAAAAACCAGTCTGACAACAGAGCCTCGGGCATATTGCATAAAATCGGGGTTCAATCGAGAACACTGCAAAGTGCCTGCTGCTGGCTGCCAGACTGGGCAAACCAGCTCTCATGAGAAAGGGTAAAAGGAGGGACACAGAAGAGTCAGGGAACAAATGGGCTGTGAAGAACTTTCCTGATTCTGGAGAACTTACTGGAATTGCTGGGACGGCGGCAACCCTGCTATTAGTTCTTTTCTTTAGAGAGGCTAGAAATTCTGTCCTGAGTGCCATTGCTTAAGTATTGCGGTTTCCTGATGGAAAACCTCCCCCTCATTCTCTCCACCTCGCCTCCCTTCCTTGTGTGTTTGCACATCTTTTTCCTTTTCTCTGGCTGATCCTTAACTCAAAGAGCATTTCCCGAATACTGGGACATCTTTGAGTCCAACTGGATATTACCTGAGACTTTGAGTCTCAGAAAGCACATGGCATAGTAGGCATCTAATAATTCAACAGTTATATGGACATCAGTTGAATTATTAGAACACCAGGAGCCCTTGTGGGCATTTCTGATCATTCCAAGGGGTTATTAATTACTGGGCTATGGCAACAATAATCCCAGGCACCAGTTTCCAGGAGGCAGCATGAAAATCCTCCCAGAGTTCAATTACAGAAATTAGCTGGTATTATTTAATCCTCGTAACCCCCATGAAGTAGGCAGGGTAAGCATCTTTATCTTTATTTTACTGATTAGGTTCCGGAGGCTCAGAGAGGTTAACTGACTTGACGGGGGTCATTTAACTGGGAAGTACGGGGACACAATCCAAAGCGGATCTTGTCACTTCAGATGTGAGGCTCTTCACACTTTGCCACAGCCGTCTGGCCCCAGGTTGGCCACCAACTTGTGTCATTTCAGGCAACCCAGTGTATCAGTTGCCTCATTCTCTGAACGGAGATAAAATGCTTATCTGGCCTTCCTCCTTAGGAGAATCAAGGGGGCGGAAGCCATATAAAGATATTTTTGAAAAGAACAAAATGCCATGCATATGAAAGGGGGTATTTTTGGTGGGAAAAGATAAGTTGGATCAGAGAAGCATTTTTCCAAGCTGACAAAGTTCTAAAACTCTTATCTGCTCACCATTCATCCCCTATTCCTCCTCAGCACTTGGAGTGGCAGAGCCTCTGCCTACCTCAGGGTCAGCTCAGCTGGCTTTGCCTACAATTGTTTTACCGGGGTCTGCTGATCATTAACCATCATGGGCTCCTGGGAGGGGGTGGCGGCTACCTCCCAGAGGACTCTGTGGACTTCAGGGCTGTTCACATTCTTTACCTGGTATCATTTGCTGTGAACAGGGTAGGAAGTCAACTGCTGGTTTCTAAGCTAAGGGCCATTAAAAAAAAAAAATAGCTCCTCAGCCAGGCGCGGTGGCCCACGCCTATAATGGGAGGCCATTAGCACTATGGGAGGCCAAGGCAGGTGTATTACCTGAAGTCAGGAGTTCAAGAGCAGCCTGGCCAACATGGTGAAACCCTGTCTCTACTAAAAATACAAAAATTAGCCAGGCATGGTGGTGGATGCCTGTAATCCCAGCTACTTGGTAGGTTGAGGCAGGAGAATCGCTTGAACCCAGGAGGCAGAAGTTGCAGTGAGCCAAGATCACGCCACTGCACTCCAGCCTGAGTAACAAGAGAAAGACTCTGTCACAAAAATTAATTCATTAATTAATTAATGGTTCCTCAACCTTAGATGGTACCCTCTAATGGGGGGGGGAACCCTCTAAAAAAAAGAGCTGTTCCAGACTGAACCTATGAAACTTCAAAATCAGAATAGTAAGGACCAGAAGCTTCGACTCAGTCATCTATGATCACAGTCCCCCAAAACCTTCTGCAGCCCCGACATGATGTATCTCAGGGGGGCATCAAAATCTAATAGAAAGTTCAGTAAAAAGGAAAAATGAAAACTCAGAGCTAAGCAAAAATGCAGATTGGCATCATCTTTCTGCATTCATGAATTGTAGTCTGTGGACATCCTGGTGTGTTTTCTTTCCTGCACTTCTCAGGTATATGGCAGGCCAAAGTATGTGCAACTTCATGAAGAGTTTGTAAAACACCAGGGTTGCCTTTAAAAACCACTCTAAAAGAAGCCCAAACTTATGGCAATAGGCATGATGGTATCACTCCTTATTCCTGGCCTAAAACATTTTGGGAAACTCACTAGGTTTCAACACATGCCACAGGATAGGAATGGAATTGGATTGTTTTGCTCCCTTCACAGGAACCCCAGGACCAGATAAAATGATGTGCATCAAGACCTCTGTGAGGCTTCCTTTCTTCAGCCCAGTGCTGCTAACTCTCCAGGGCAGCCTCCTGTGCTCCCACTACCAGCCCCTGATAGGACTCTCCCATACACTGAGAGCCTGAATAAACTCAATAACACCATCCCATTTTTAAAGCACTGCAACTCCTAGTTACAATACTAATGTGTTCATAATAATTTACCCCATTCTTCTGGCAGAAGCAAAACTGAAGCAACTTGAAATGCCATCAGCAAAAAGTTATTTATTTCCCATTCCTGAGCATCAGAGAAAACAGGGTTTCA